TCCTAGTTCTTAAAGATCAAAAAGTTTCAGGCAGCACCTCCTCCCCTAAAGTAGAAAAAAGAAAGCAGCAAGAACATTTCCAACATGAGTGCACATATCAAACTATGAAATAGGAGTTATATTCAGTATTGAAGATCTTATTGTTTCACAAAACTGTGCGAAAATGCGCAACTGGATCAGCACTTCTGCAGCGTATTGCTAAACATTGCACAGTTAAATGTCGATGAAATAAAGATGTGCGCTGTACAATGAAATAACTAATAAGATCCGGAAGGCTGATCAAACCAAAATATGATGAAGCGGCCTTTGTTAACCTGGACGATCTAAAGACAGCAGCAGCAAAAACAGCATTCTCGATGGTTTTTCATTTCAACCACGAATATTAAAGGTTAAAAAAGAAAATATCAGGAGAAAAAGGAAACAAGGAAGAAGAGGAAAAGGATATTAAAATAGGTAAGGGGTCTAAAGAAACACTTGTTATAGGTAAGAAATGTTTCGGTCCATTAAATCGTATACATTTCTTACCATTACCACAATTGGACCTCGTCGGTACGACTACTGTGGTAACACAGTAATTTAATAAGGTATATAAATTAGTTAAGATAAAAAGATGTAAAGCAGAAGAAATCAACGCAATTGTATTCCTTGTCTCTTTCTAAACTTTTACTTAAAGTGTTTGCATCAGCTACAAATCCCAGCTTGATTTTTCATATGAAAACATTTCTTACCGATGACGGCTGCTGTATTACTGGGGACGGAACTGCAACTGTTGCTGGCGACACATTCACTATTATTTTTTCGACTTTTTCCAGTCTGGTTACAGGCGCCGCATTTGGCTTCATTGCTGCTTTGCCTACACAGTGAAATAATTAAACAAAAAGCGGCACGGCGAAGTCACTAACACTGGTACATTTGTTGCTATTAGCTGCTGTATTTCCACAGTAGAGAGGAATATCTTATATATCTTAGTATGGTAATTTATCGTTTTTTTGTTGTTTAATTTCTGATTTATTTTTTGATTTTAATTTTTTATGTTTTATGTTATGTTGTTTTTGATTATTTTTTCTCGTAAGTTAGGTTCAAGTAAAATTGTACTTAATACCGAGAAAACCCCGTAATTTCTTGAATTCTTTGTCGTCTAGTCAGTGATGTAAATTATCGCGATCTAGCCAAGAAAACTTTCAAGACAAGGTGGTGAAGCTCAACAAATAAATCAAAGGCATCCCAATACGGTTCGTACGTGTGGAGAATAAAACAACGTACGCGCCGCCATTTGCTGATGTGTCGGAGGCTTTTTTACAGTTAAAATTAAGAAAAATTTTTCGGAAACACAACCAAGCGGTATGCAATTCACAGGTGGTGGATACGCCCGTGGTTCTCTGGCAGGCGTCACAGCTCTTCGTCGCGAAATGCTTCCGCTTGGTGTTGCAGCTCTCCGACACGAAATATTTGCACCTGGTGTCACAGCCCTCCGACGTGAAATACTCGCTTAAATAATGGAATTATTAGTCAGGAGCTATAAGGGACAAAAATACATATTGACGACGGGTTGTAGGTATGTATGGGTGTGCGTGTGTGTGTGGGTGTACATGAATTTTGTCTTTCTCTATCAGGACAACCAGAAAAGCCAGAAAGCTGAAATTTTACAAAGACGTCCTCTGTTCAGATTTTAAATATAACTTCCAAGTACGTTTTGATCGCGCGTTTGGGACGCTACTGATGCCCATTTGGCTTGGGAATCGGACAGAACAGGCATCTGAATTTTTATGATATTCCTGTGTTCAGCATAAGTGACTGAGCTCCGCATTAACAGTTCAAGTAATCTTCGTGTTTGTTATCAGCAAGTTGCTGCGGACACACAGACACACACACAGAGACAATCCCATGCACACACACACAGACAACCTCGTGACAATATGCGTTTTATGTAGCTGTTGCACAGCACAAAATACATAAAAATTATAAAAGCAGTACCTGCGATTAGGTCACGATTCACTTCTGGCCCTAATTGTACTACCGGCTTCGGCGTCTTCTGAAATTTAAAATACTTAAGATGTCGGTAGCCAAGCATAAAAAGACTGCAGCCCTTCAGTGTAACTTCTCGCGACTCATTTTCCATGAAAGGAGGAAACACAGCGAACAGGAAGGAAGACGGAAAAGGCCAAAAGAAGCAGGAGAGGAAAACAGTGAAAACCCACATGCACAGAGGTCAGAGAAACCAATATTAAGACGGTAAATTCTGCTGAGAGGCTAGCACGAACGACCCGATAGCTTGAAAGAGGTACGTTTGATATATGGAGCATTTCAGTAGCAAAACCACATCGGATCGTCAAATCGGCTTTCCAAGGGTTTTGCTAATCCTGCCAGATCACAAGCCAAAAACATCCGTAGCAGAATGATTAAAAGAACAATGCCTTCCTTACCGCTCTGACTGGTTCATCGACGATAAGAGCTGAAGCGCGTGTTTTTTCTGTAATCTTTACCGGCACTTTCTTCTGCTTTTTCGCCGGGTCCGCATTGTTCTCCTTCAATTCCCCCTGGAAGTTAAAAAAAAGAAAAATGTGTTTTAAAATTTGCAGTGAATGTCCTTCGTCCGTTCACCAACAATAGCCTTCACGAAGGAACTTTCAGCAACAGCTCTCAGCTAAA